GAATCAAATTATAGCAATTGTCCTGCCATTTTGTTATATCTCTATTAATAAAATGTTTAATGCCATTAAATAAGGAGTTGTGAATTATCTTATATTTTCTTACAAACTACTGATAAATATCAAACATTATCAGCTCTAACAAATGGTGAAAAATTAGTTACAGTAGCTCTAGTTTGAAAGTGTGTAGGCCAACTAACACTCTTAAACAGTGCTTTTAGGGTCAAAAAAGTAATACATTTATCATGTTCCAAAACTCTGAAATGTTCAAATCTACTGTAGTGGGCACCTGATCCTCTGCCTTCTGTGTTTGCAGGAATCCAGACCTCTTCTCCTTCCCCTCTCCCTACCAGCCAAGCACATGTCAATCAGCCCCACTCCAGGAATGAGCTCAGATTAAGTCAATTCTGCCAGCCCCTTGCCCTTTACTGGTGATTTAAATGGAATGGGCCTATGACCCAATTTGGACTAAACCTGCTTCAAGAGAAGGTTGCTAGAAGCTTCTGATTAGCACATATGTTTAGGGTTCATCATAGTCTAGTTTATAATGTTTAAAAATTAGAAACAGCAAAATGTGAAATTGACTTACCAAACAACAAGACTGAGTGGTTATCAGAAATGATGATGTAAGTCCTTTGGTGATGAATGTCCTAAGTAGAATTTTCTGTGAAAGAAAGCAATTTTAAAAATAACATAATTTTTACATGTATCACAAATAGCATTCTAAATACTATATACATTTTGTTAATTATTTCTGTCAGCATATATTTTATTAGGATACCAGTGTACCTCACAGAATCAACAGAAATGCTGAATAACCAACATTTGTGAAAGTAGGAAACTGGACTGCTTTGAGAACTTCACGTATGAATTCTGGAACTCTAAAAATCATAGAGTCTCAGCCCTTTGAATCCATCACTTAAGGGAAGTTAGGCCTATGCTTTTTTACAGTTTCTGTACATAACAGGTCAGTGGTGGCTGACAGTCCAATTTTGCCACCAAAAGGAAGAGAGGAAGTTTTGTTCCCAACCCACGGTTAGAAAAATGTCAGGAAATGACTGGCATATCTTGGGTTGTATATCAACCCCTTGACCAAATTCCTGAAGCCAGAAGGAGTCAGGTACAGGCCTCCCGATCAATTGTAGGGACCAGGAATGCAAGGCCACACATGATGACCTCCCTTTCTAATTACACATCTAGAAACATAGGGGCAGAATCCAAAGAGGGACAGTTCTGTCCCAGAAGAAAAGAATGCTAGACAAACATTCCTACATACTTAAGAATCAGGGTTGGCTGGGAAAACATTTTACATTTAAACAGTGAATCTTGCTCTCTTACCACATAAACTGAGAGGTGAACATGTGTGTTTTGTAGTTTATAGTAGCATCCTAACACAGGAGAATCCCCCTCTTCAGTGATGGCGCGTTACTTGTGTAATGCACTGTGCGTGTGTGTGAGTGTGTGTAACCAGGCATCATAGGCTTATGGGTAATAATAATAGGGAAATAAGAGTATAGATCAACAAATCAAATTTTAAATAAATAGAAAATAAGCTAATGTGGAATTTTGCGAGCTTTCAGTTGATAGGAGTGGTTTTTGTATTAAACTGTCTTGGCATTAAGATTCTTGTTTTGTCCTCCAAACCTGATTTATCTACAAATCTACAAACACTGGAATTCCGTAAATATCTGAGCAAACAATGCATTTTGCTCATGGGACCTTGTGAAGGAGCTTAGATTCTGGCATCCTACATATAACATCTGCAACCTTTCTTTCCCTGTTTTTTAATAACTACTACGACACAAAGGTCTGCAGGCCATATGGAAAGCCCTAGTTTAGTCACTATACAGAGACTCTGTTCCCAAAACTAAGGGACATTTTTTCTCAGGGGTCATCGACCCACAGGAGGAAAAGAATAATAAAAGGTCACAGAGGAGGTTAAGAGGAACTTCATTTGGTTATCACTGGATTACTTTTAAAGGTCACAGTAAAAAGTGAAACTTTGCTGATTTAAAATTTAAGAACAGGATAAAACAAAACTTTATTCAATATGTCCAATGATGGGAATATTTTAAATTCTTCTTCAGTTAGTAGAATTTCTAACTAACCGTTAGTACGGTCAAAAAAGTGAGAAAAAGAAGTGGAAAAAGAAAAAGGGCAAGGAAGGAAACCTGGACAGAGGGAGAGATGGACAGCTATGGAAAACCAAGAAAAACACACACGAACATGTGGGAGAGGCTTATTGAATTACTTAAAAAAAAAACCACTGTTTTGTAACACCCTGTCACAACTCTTCATCTGTGCTGTGGTCTTTGGGAATAACACTTTTCACTGCTACACTAACAAAGGCTATTCTTCACAATTGACCAGCTCTCTTTATCCTTGACATTCTTGGAGTGCTTATCACTGTTCAAGGGAATTTTCTTTGATGATGAAAACGTTTTAAATATATGTGATGTCATGAGGTAGCAACTTGTAATTACTGAGCGTTTGAAATGTGGCTAAGTGCAAAAAAGGAATGTAAATTTTTATTGTACTTCATTTTAACCAAATTAAATAATCACTTGGCTGGCAATCTTATTGGACAATGCGGATCTAAGGGACATTTACGGTGGGAGGAAAGTTGGTCTCAAGACTAAGGTAGAGATGAATGAGACAGATGAAATTAAACCACAGAATGAGTGAGCACCCCATACTGGACCACTTCATTGGCTGTCCTTTGCCTTTCTTAATCTTTTGTTCAGTCCTCTAATTATGCTTTTCTTCCCCAGATGAAGGAAGGTACTCTCTTTGAAGGGGTATAAAGAGAAAATCACTGGTAGGCATTGGGGCAAAAATATCAGTCAGGTTAAAGTGTACAGGGTACATGTATTTTCAAGACTTTTAGTGCTTTGAGGAACAATGCTTTTGGAAGTGTTCAGTACTTCATACTATCATTTTCATTAATTAATAGCTATGCAGTGTGACTACTGTTCTAGCATGTTCTACATCTTTGGATTACTTCTCTGAATCTACATGTTTTAATTAATTTTCTTGGTATTTATTCAACCTTATTTTATTCAATACTGACGTCTTTCCCTGTTAGTGAGCAGTGAATATTTTGTTTCTTGGAAGAGTTGCATTGTGGATCTCGTATAATCTTCAAAAAGGAGAGATCTGGATTGTGAATGAGACACCTGCAAATCATACCAAAGGCTGCCTCTGTCTGCATTAGTCACTGGGCTTCACCCCATCCTGGTATGCAGTGCTGGTCACACAGCTGGGCTATCCATAAATACCTGCTTTATGAATGAAGGAACGTCAGTCACGTGCATAGTCTTCCATGAATAGATTGTGGACTAGGGGGTCTCGAGATACCTTTTGAACTAAACCCTTCATCTTGACTACTCTTGGATGAAAATTTTACCAACGCCTTCCAAATTAACTCGCCTTCCCTGCAACCACTGAGAGCAGAGCTTCTTCCCCTCAACACCCATGACCTCTACAGGTATCTCTGCTCTTTCTGCCCGACTAGCTCAACTACACTAACCGCCCGCGTCCTCCACGTGGATCCTAGGACGTGGGTGAGAGGCAGATGGACTTAGGCCTCCAACCCAGGCAGCGTCTCTCCTCGGCCGAGTCCCCTCACACTACCGCCCCCCACCCCCACTCCCCCGGCCTCGCCCTACCCTGCCTCTCACGGCACTCTGCGTTAGATGAACCCTTTCCTTCGACCTGCCAAGAGCTCTCCCGCTTCCGCTGGGCGCATGGGGCCCCAGGCGGGACAGGCTGGGGGCCGCTCTGGCGTCGGCAACAAGCGTGGGCCGTGACGCCATCGCGCCCTGACGTCAGACGGACGTGCAGCACGGTCTCCCAGGAGACCAGGAAAGCCGTTTCTCTCCCCACGGAGTCCAGGTCTAGGTGAGAGACAACGAATGGCTTCTGTGAGCCCGTGGGATGACCGGGTCCCGGGACGCAGTTCCGGAGCGGAGGCGAGCTGGCGCGCCCGGGAAAGGGCCGGAAAGAGAGCCGTGGCGTGGCGCTGGGCGAAGCGTTGGGGCCCGCGCTTCGCCTCCGCCCCTTCTGCGTCCGCTGCCGGCCCCACGAGCCGAGCCGGGCTGGCCCTGCATCCTTTTGGCCCCACGGTGCGCGCGTCTGGGCCTCACCGTCGCGTCGCACTCTCCTCTTCTTCCTGCCACGGCAGGTCCCGAGGGAATGGGGTTAGAAAGGGACAGATTTCAAAACCCTTCCAGCAGTTTTGCCTGGCCTTGTAGTTGATTTCTATTTGGGAAATCCCGCCGTTTCAGGAAAGTCTTAGGACATACCACCCGCCTCACCCGTCCCTGACCTGCTCGTTTGTGGGTGATTCACACCAGGGGAGTAGTTCTTTTATGGAAGGGCCTGAAGACGGAGCGTGAGTTAATGGCCCAGCGTGACACTGGTGTGAGGAAGGGAATGGGAAGTGGACAATCAAGGGCATTTTTGTGTTTTTGACATCTGCCTTGTGACCCTGTTAGAGAGCAGGTTCAGAAATATACACGGAGCCCGCTGCCAGTTATCACCACACCTCTTGCCAAAATTCACGTATGTAATGTGTAATAAGAGGGAGTCATTTGATAAAACACGCAAAGTAATGTAACGGTAAATTAAAATTATAAAACACTTTCCCTGTTGCCAAAAGGGAAAGAGACCTTTCACCTCCCTTTCTTGAGAAACCTCTTATTTGTGAATTCCCCCACTATTTCTTTAATGTGTATGCAAAGACCCAGAATGTTTTTCTTGAGGACCTGGGAGCCATTTCTTTAAAATGTAAATATCAAGGAAGATGGCTCCGGTTTCCATATCTAAATGGGAGTTTTGGTCTAGACGGCGCCTTAGTAACCACCTACTTTGTCATACAGAAACTTGCATTCCTTAGAACAAACGCAATTAGCCAGCATAGATGGCTACTTCAATTACCAGGTGAATTTAAAACGAACTACAAAAGAGTGTATGGAAAGCTGTATTGAGGATAAACTACCGTGTATCTGGAGAACATGTGTGTAATGAACTGTATCTGCCTGGACTGTATAAAACAGTGGGATTTCTTTATGTCTTTGGAATCTCATCAGCAGGTTGGTTGTGATGTGCCCCGCTGTCTAGTTAAATGCATATTCAATAGTAACATTGCTATCTTTCTGCCATGAGGAGATTTTCTGGATTGACAGATATTTTACTTTTAATTTTTCATCAATAGTTACTGCCAATTCTTCCCCCTTGGTAGAGTTAGACCACAAAATTGGGATAGATTTACAGACAATGAAGGTTCTAAATAAAAACGGTCCCACTGGTGCCTTGTTTATACTGTCACTAGGTCCATGCTCTCTAATAATTTTGTGGGTGCAATTTTAAAAGATTTAGTTGGTGATTTAGTAGAAATTCTCCCAGTAGAATTTAATTAAGCTGATGCCATCTTATGTTACTGTTGGTGAGTCCATTGTAAAATGGCAGAAATGAGAATAATGAGCCTTCTGTGAATAATGAGCTCTTACCACATCACGGTGACAGTCTGCCAAACATCAGATTATTATGTACTTGGCCATGTGGGCCTGTGTTAACTGTCAGTTAACTTTACCCCCATAGTTAGCTCCAGTTAACGTTACCAAACACATACACACACACATTACACTTATATGAGAAGACAGCTCGTTAATTATTTGCTGTAAACAGCAACTCATTAAAACAAGGGGTTTTGTGCTAATGGGTTAGGGAGGGAATCCTCTCTTCTACCAATGGTTACATAATTTTAAAAAAATACTACTGCAAGAATTGTCACCTGTAGTTTCCTTGCTACCTTGGCAAGGCTGGGGTCGCAGTCTCTAATAGAGTACTCTACCTCTACTCTCTCTGTCAAAAACCTACCCTGATCACAAGCAAACAGCCTCAGGAAGCCTTCACTAATACTCTACTCCAAGATATTTTTCTGTCCTCAACTCCTGGATTTTTCATTGTCTACAACTTTTGGCCCTTAGGTCTTCTCCTGTACTATGGAATTGGGCCTAGATTATCTCGCTCTGCTGCCCCGCTTCTGTTCCCTACTCCTTGGGTTATAAACATCTCTCCCTGATGAAATTGGACTGTCTATTCTTTTAAAAAAACATTTTAGGTATTGATTTAAAAGAGAGAGAAAAAACATCGATTTGTTGTTCCACCTATTTATGCATTCACTGGTTAATTCTCATATGTGCTCTGACAGGGGATCAAATCCACAACCTGTGTATTGGAGTGATTTTCTAACCAACCACGAGCCGTGCGGCCAGGGTCTGGACTGTTCTGTGCTTTCTCCCTATTTGGGAAAGATTAAAAAAAAAGAGACCCAAAATCAAAGTGCTCCTCCATTTATCCTGAGTTGTGATAGAGTTTTGTGTTGCAGTGTTATATTATAAAATGAAACTATTAAAAGTAAAATATCTGCATAAAATTATAAAAATGTTCATTTATAGGTAAAATTTGCCATTGGCTTCCCATGCTTTGATGACTCTTCTGTTCGGGGCCTGCATATTGTATTTAATCCGATAACTGAGTATTTCTTCTGTACACCATCATTTAAACCAGCATTCATGTCACAATTGCTTCTCTTGTCTGCTGAACCAAAATGCCATATTTATGCATTTTTCTAGTAGCTTTTCAAAAAAACTGAAATAAATCATTCTGTTTAAAATTTTGTGATCCTTATTCTATATTTGCAAAGCAAATAATTAGTAGTAAACCACCACTGAAATTACAAGTGGACTTTTAATTGCTAAAGACAGAAAATATTTGCCACTATTATCAGTAGTCTCTATAGTTCTTTTCTGTTTTATTGGCTTAATAACTGAGAAAACCCCACTTGTACGTTTAACACTGAGTTGATGAAATAAACATCTGTTGAAACAGTTACCACTGCTCTTCTAAAAATACTCCCAAGAATTTATATCTTTTAATTTGAAAAATTTTCACATTATTTCAATTCTGATTATTGCCATCAATATTTTTAGATTATTTTGCTTCAGAGTTTCTTCAGTATATTTTGGAAAATTATGGATCGTCACATTCCCATGCATGCATTACCTGAAGAAATCCAAAAGGTATGATATTATATCATGTTTTTTCAGCATAGCATTAGTAACATTTTAACAGGTAATTCTAAAACCTGGGGGAGTGAATTCAGAGGTTTTGTATTTGTTTTTGTCAGGGCATCTGTAATGAATTGATGGAGTGGGGAAGGGAATAATCCAAACTGGAATTCAATTCAGTGCCAAGTGTTTGACTTGTAAAAGAAGACGAAGATACGATTGCAGCACAGTATTTGACCAGGTGTTTGTGGAGCCTTTGGGAAAAGAGGGCCCCAGGAATGTCTCAATACTATATTTAGACACTTTTCTAGAGGATTTACACGGAAAAAAAGTTTAAAAGAAACTGGAATAAATGGGTGTGTTTAAAATTTTAGGTGATCCTTATTTTGTATTTGCAAAACAAGCAATTAATAGTAAACCACCAATGAAATTAAAATTTGTAGCTTTTCATGATGCTACATTTTTAAATCAATCAATCTCTCTCTCTCTCTCTCTCTCAGGGTCTATTTCAGTTTCACCTTAATTCTTGCACCAGACACTTTTAAAAGCCCTTTTATATATATAAACTCATTTAATCTGCTTAACAATTCTTCACAGTTCCATGCTAATCTCCTCCCTGTTCATATCTGTCCTCAGGCAAACACATTTTCCCCATATTTAGTTTGGCAGTGCATACATTGTTAACAGTATAATTTAAAAAAATATTTCTTTGAAACTGATCAACAAATTGAGAATTAAAACTTCAGACCTTAGCTATCATTAATCATTCAGGTTTTTCAGTCAACTCTTACCCACCAGTCTGTTCCTCTTTAATTAAAGAAATTAAAGTCAGTTCTCAGATATGCTTTTATCCTTTGTTCGTGTTACTTTGGGCTTCCTGTTAGCATTAACCATGCCATTGATTTAACTGGATACTTACTGTTACTGCATGTTCTTCAGATTTATGTAAACTGCGATCTAACGGGAACTGGAAGGGAAAGCCAAGGTCTTACTAGAAAAGACCTTTTCAGGCACAGCATTTAATGAGCTTCACCTGTTAAGTTAGGTGTAAGAGATAGGAAGCCCAGAGAGAGCTCAGCCCTGTATGCAGTGCTTACCTGGGAAACAGCTGCTTTTATCAATTTGTAGACATGGAATGTCTTTCCTTTTTCCCTCCACTGAATTCCTTCCATTACTACCCTGTGTGGTAGAGATCAAAAGAAACCAAACCAAACCATCTGCAAGAAACAATACCCATACTTCAGATTCCAATCGTTTGTCAGGAAGAGGATATATCATCACATGAAAGAAATAATTCCAAAAGACAGTGTCTAAGTTAAATGTCATACAAGATTGTATCTTTTCTGGGAAAGGAGAAGGTAGGGAGAGGAATCCGCAGGTTTGGGGACAGTCAAGGGAGGAGCTTTATGCAGGAGGTAGAACTAGGACTGGCCCTTAGAGGCCGAGTGTTTCTATAGACTCCTGGCAATAGGGCATGCTAGGTCAAGGGAATAGAAGCTTACTGATGAGAAAATGCTGGCCAACTTAGAGAATGTTTAACAATGTAAATGTTTTGACTGTATGAAAAAGTATGTATTTATTTTGACAAGGTTTTATGAGAGTTGTAGGGTTTTTTTTCCTCATGTTTAAGGTACTTTATAAGCAAATTATTTAAAAATGCGAAAACCAAACATTTCGTAAATCTACAGTTACGTTCTCAAAGCAGGAATGGGAAGCAGCTGTCCATACATTTTGTAGGAAGTGGTGGCTCCAGGAGAAGTGCTGCTGCTGCCTGAGGCCCTGGGCAAGTGTTCTGATGGCGCCCTTTGTCCCGCTGAATGTTTAGAATATAAAGTACAGCTTTGCACTTTTTCAGCCCTCAGTTCGATCCATTTCCACAACAAATATTTTTCCAGAGCCTATTATGTGCCAGATATTGTTCTGGGTACTTGATTATAAAGCAACCTAAATGTGTACATGCACCCCACAGCCTATTAAAGCGCAGTCTAAAAATAAGGCAGTTACTTGTTTTCCATAACTTTTTACCTATGTTTGATTCATCTGGTTTGTCCGTAATATATTTGTTAAGTTGCTTAGTGATCAGGCAGTATATCTACCTAATCAGCTTGCATACATCATTCTATACAGAATCATGTCAGACAGATACAGGGCGGGTAAAAGTAGGTTTACAGTTTGTATGGAAAGTAATACAATAATTAATAAATAATGCAAGAATAAACTTTTTCATACTCAGAACCATAAACCTACTTTTGCCTCACCCTGTACGGAGGTTATAATGGTAATAGGAATACTTCAGATTAGAATTATTTAATAATACCTTATTATTAAAATGAAAAAAAATTTTATAATGGCTTGGAAATTCTCTCTATTTCTTTATTGGGGAAAAAAGGACATGAGGTGGGTGGATCAGTGTCTCTCTCCACCCCACCCCTGTTCTTCTGTTAACTGTTTTGTGTTAGTTTTTATGCTGATTCTTCTTTCTAGAGAAGTCCTTGTCAGTCCCCCCTCCCCTCCCCTCCCCTCCCCTCCCCCCTTCCTTTTTTTCCCCTCTGTGTAGGCAAGGAAAATTAGTGTAGAAATCAGAGAAGAAGGTGAGGGGAGCCCTTCCTCCTTATTTCTATCCATACTTTTGCTATGTGATATGGAAATGGGATGGTTGATAAATTACATGAAAGTACTTGATAAAAACATGAAAATGACTGTACTACACTGTGTTATTAATAACAAAATAGGTAATAGTAGAAAAGTTGCAAGAAAAAGTAGAGGTGGTGGGGGGATGGCCACCAAATGAGAAAGTATGGGGAAAAATGCTGATGATACTAAGCAATAATTAGAGAATGAATCCATTCCCTGACTGGTAGGTTAAAATTGTTAAATCAGCTACCCCTTGGGCTTATCTTTTAAGGGACTGTTAGGGAAGCAAGAAAAGGATAATTTTTTGACTTCCATTCCTAGGTCTTTCTGGTTTTTATCACAGTTTCTGACTGAGCATAAAATACATGTCAGACTTCCATCTCCCAAAGTGGCACAAAATGTAAAACAGGTCCATGGGCCGGACAACAAAGCCACACTCATCTCTTTGTCTGCTTGCTAGACTCTACAATTTACTTCCATGCATACTTAGAACGTATTTTAAAATTTGTTCTCTCTCCAGATTGAGCTGACTCATGCCTGTCTCTCACCTCTGATAACCAGCAGCTTTGCTAGGATTTTCATCCAGCATTCTGAAAGCAGAATATACTTGTAATGATAGTACAGTTCTGTGTTTAGGATTTTATTGCCACAATTTAAAAGTAAAACACAGATCAGCAAAGTAATAATTCTTTATTTCTTCCCCTCTGGAATGTCAACCCATTTTAGAGATATATGGACTCCCTCTTTTTAGAAAAAAAAGCAATGAACAACTTTTCTTTTGTTGCTTCTGCTTGGGGACATATACAGAAATCAGAACAACTGCAACAAATTAGTGAAAGAAATCAGCTATTTTGCAAAAGTAAAGCTGATCTCTTTTTTAAATGTTGACAAAACGAGCACTTGTAATAGAATTTTAGCTTCGGGAAAGATATTTATTACCAGAGGACATGAAGTAAAATAAAGAGATCAGAGTTGTTTATTTTATGAAACACAAGTGGTGGTGCAAGGACTGGAGAGCACACTGTTCTTTCTGGGGTAACAATCCCTTTCTCTAGCAGTAACAGCTCATTTTGTCCTGTTTCAGTACAGTAATTTTAGTACTTTGAAACTTTGAAATTTATTCAGAATAACAGTTTTATATTTCTAAGCACAGATTGTCATTGCCAGAAAAAATAAACTTAATTTTCCAGGTCATTTTGGGCCACCGTGGCTAAGGTCAGATTTTGTGTTGAGTTAAAGTAGAGAAAAAAAGAATGAGAAAAGGGTTATAGAAATGTTAATATTATTATCCTGGGAAAGTAATGGTGTGTGTATGTGTGTGTGTGGGGGGGGGGGCGCGGGGGTTTGTTGTGTTTTTAAGCAATTGTAGTTTTAAAGCCTAGTGACAGAGGAAGTAGTAAACTGTGCAATTCTTGGAGAGACTAATCACTTAATATTGCGATCTAAGATAGTTTGTTAGGAAAAACAGTTTTTTAAAAAAATGTTACTATGAATCTTGAAAAAAACTGCATCTGTGAATTTTCAGTCCAAAATACTTTTTCTGGCTGGCCATAGAGGGTCACAGAGTTCACTAAGGTGGGGTTTCCCAGAGGGAAAGTAGGTATTAGAGGAAGTATACTTTGGAAGCATACGTAGATAAACATAGGTATGTAATTTATGCATGGAGCCAACATTTCTTGAAGTTGCTTAATAAAATTTGTTTATAGATTAATCTTTGGTATTTTAGTCCCAGATTGATTTATTTTTTGAAAATTATTTTCTTATTAAACTTCTTATTTTGAGATTATAGATTCATATGCTGTTACCCCAACTACTCCCAGTGGTAACATTGGACAAAACTATACTACAATATCACAGCCAGGATATGGACATTGATACAGTCAAGACATAAAGCAGTTCTGTTACAATGAGGATCCCTCCTATAGACCTTTTACAGTCACACTCACCTCAACCTCTCCCTTCATATACCTCCACCACTCCCCAACCCCTAATCCATGGCCCCTGGCAACCACTGATCTGATCTCCAATAATTTTGTCATTTCAAGAATGTATAAATGAAATCATTCAATAGGTAATCTTTTGGGATTAGTTTTATCACTCAGTGTAATTATCTAGGGCTTTATTCAGGTTGTTGCATGTATCAATAGTTTATTTCTTTTTATTGCTGAGTAGTATTAAATGGTATGAATGTACTATGGTTTGTTTAACCTGTTGAAGAACAGCTGGCTTTTTTCCAGTTTTTTGGCTATTACTTATAAAGCTACTATAAATATTCACATACAAGTTTTTATGAGAACATGTGTTTTCATTTTCCTGGGATAAATGCCCAAGAGTACAATTGCTAGGCTGTACGGTAGTTGCATGTTTGGTTCTTTAAG